GATCATTTTTTGACTTTTTTGGAGTATTCTCAGCAAATGTGAAAAACCGGGATATAGTATGGGAAAATCAGGAAAAACGCAGGAAACCCGGGATAATCGGTACAATATTAAACAAATTTTATTAAAAAAAATATGTAAAGCCTATTTAATATTTTACTATAATATGACATTTATATTATTAACAAAGCATTACGACCAACCTCACTCTGCTCAGAATCGTTTTACCCTAAGCAATAGTTTATCGTTACTTACAGATATACATTTATATATCTATAACATTGGCTACACCAGTCATCAATATTCAAGGACGTCTTTTTTAATTGAATTTGTTTTCTGTTATTTTTAGTCATTATGAATTCGTTTAAGCTTTATTTTAAAACCAATTTTTAATTTATATAGTCCAAATTCCAATAACCGACCCAGAGGTAGAAAATAAAAATATATTAATTTTAAAACAGGAGATTATAAAAGACGTATATTGCGGGAATATTGTAGGAAAGGTCAACAAGGGCAAAATAACCGTCAGCATGTTAAATATATTGTCTCTCGAAATACAAGTTAAGAACAATCTCCCGTGGATTAATTATGACGATGAATTCAAATGTAATATTTTTTCGATAAACAATATCAAAAATGACGAAACTCTAATTATTATTAATAACTCAATTCAAATGTCTTAAACACTCAGGGACGTAGAGAACAGGTTAAAAACATCAATTACAATGCTAATGAGAACAAGAGTGAGTAAAGTCTATGAATTATAAAACGTAGCCAAAAGGGCAGTTTGTTTTGGAAATGATAGGTTAGTTTTTTTAACGAAAATTTGCACGGGTTTAACCTTTCGGGTAAGGCCTTTCGCAGGAACGATATCGGCCAGCTGTACATGTTGTTGTCCAAAAGCGCAGCATAAGCTCATCTATAGTCCACGACACGAAAACTTGCCCCTGAGTATTGCGACTCACAACACCCGCTTACCCTACCCGATAGCAATGGATTCTTAACCTTTATCGTTTATTGTACATTGCGCAGCTATTGCAGTGCTGTGGGTATTTAGTACGGCTATTAGCACTAATGGGGCGAATAGGCCACTAGGTTTGCGACGGTCAGGGACCAGATTTCGTGTCACAGACTATAGCTGGAAGTCCCAGGGTATTTATACTAGCCGCCGAGAACGCCTTAACAGACAAATCTTGATCTATAAACTGCGAGCACCTTCACGCCGGTTTGAATTGTGAGATTAAATTTAATTATTTTCATCAGTTAAATAAAATATACTTAAAAATATATAGTTATAATTTACTTGAAGTGTTAAAGACATGCGCAACAACAGCATCTAAAAAATATAATCAAACTTTGAAAAAAACACGGTATTAAAGAAAAATAAAAACTTACCAGTTACTGTTTGTCCTTCACGTGGACCTGTTAGTTTTAATAAATCAACATTTAGTCTACACTGGTTATAAATAATACAGAGTCTCACTAAGATATACCTAGTTATTGTATTATAACATCTCTAACGATAATAAAGATAACCAATTTTGTTTTTTACATTATTCACAGGAATAAATACTAAAAATATACCTAATCTAACTATACAACTAATATACTCATTTACTAACACTTTGGTTAATACCTGATAAATTGTAAGAATGTAACTTAATAAATGAAAAGAGTTAATAAAGATTAGAAAAAAAAGGATCGATAAAATGTGGAAGATTCATTGTTATAAGTCATACCTAGTAAAAAACCTTCTCGACTGACTGCAATTTTATTAAGCTAAGTATGATACAAAATAAGACATGAAAATAATCGTTCTACTCCATACATTTTAAACTTAAAAAACCCTAAACTATGACGTAGAGGTTAAAATTATGATTTATATTTACGAATGTATAGTTAAATTTTATGACCTTTTTTTTTTTTCTATAAATACTTTTTACATGTAGTTTTACTTGGATTTACAATGGTAGAACTTTTTCTGAAAACCAATTTGACTGGAAAATACTTTAAGGTAGATAGTTTGGATTTTGTATATTTTGCAAAAATTTACTGGAAAAAAGAGAGAAAAATCTTGGTTTCAGAATTATTTGGGGTGTAAAAAATACAAATACATCTATTTGTTATTGTTTCCAATTTGGTTAAAAATATCTTTAAAGATTTTAAATTTAAACAGAAAACTTACATTTACTTATTCTAAACATGTACAATTTTCATATCATTTGATCAATTTTTAAGTTTTGTATACAAATTTTAATATTTTTGTTAAAATTAAATAAAAAATATTTGTATCGATTTTATAGACATAAAATTTAAACAAAAATTTACATGAAGATTTTTTAGATGTGGTGAAATTTTAAACACAGTTTTAACAATTTTTTAGCAATTTACAGATATTTTAATTTTGCAAGATATCTACTCATAGAGTTCGCTTAGTGAATCACCCTGTATATAGTTTTTATTCAGTTACCTATTTACTTTAAAAAATGCATGTCATATTAATAAAAATAATCACTTACGTGGCATATTCTCGAATTTTTTACTAGTATTCGCTAGAAAAAGAAAATTTAAATTATTTTAAATAAAATTACTGTTTGTTAATTTAGTTATTTAACATTCCGACTAAATAATTTAATACAAAATGGTTAATAATATACAGGCTGTATTTCTATTTACTACATTTATATTATACCATATTTATTACAGTCAATTTTAATTTAATTTTAAATATCGCACCTAAATATATATTTGCTTATTTATAAATGCAACTAATTAATTTAATACAATATACTGGCACTGTGTGTAGATACCACGAATCAGGATAGTATTTGTCTAGAGTATTCTGTTGTCTAAACTGTAGTATTAGTTTTAACGGTATTATATGCCTTTGATTATAACATGAATAATAATAACTGTGATTTCATTATTTTTACTCTACCAAAAGACTCATTTGACTTAAAATCTAAAACATGAAATTTAGAGTGGAATGAGAAATGTATTGGTTTATTATGATGTTATTTTTGATTTTCCAGGCGGATTTTATAATGTTTAGGAAAAACTAAGATAAAACTTAAGAAAAACGTGAACTTTATTAAATTATTGCTCTTACTATCTTAATTTTTTATTTTTTGTAATTCAGTTAAAAATATTCGCAGAGAATTGAAATTTGAACAAAAAATTTATATTTATCTTTTCGTGGTAAGTTTAAAAAAACTTTAAGCCATTTTTGAGCTGTATATAGACATTTTCATTTTGTGATATCTGTACCTTATTTAACTATTTACTTTTTAAATTTGCATAGAACATAAAAAAAAAATCACTTACCCGATTGCTCACTAGGGTCTGGCACCAGAAAAAAATAATCTCAATTTAATTTTTAATATCGCAATTAATTTTGTATTTTGTTTATTTGTCTATGCAAATAATTAATTTGATACAAAAATATTGGCTCTGTGTGCAAATTTTACGGTTCAGGATAGTATTTGTAGAGTATACTGTTAGCTAAACTGTAGTATTGTAATGAGGAATGTATTGGTTTACTATAATATTTATTTATTTATTTTTTAAATGCGTACATAAATTCTACGAGATATTTTGCTCCGATATATACGTGCGGTAACATTTCCGAAAGAAAACATTGTCCTGATGGTAGTTTTGAGAGACTTGAATATTTAACATGAGGGTCAATAAAAGTTACTTTGTCATCAAAAAAAGATTGAGTTTATTGCAATATTTTTTGTTACTATAGGAATTTCTATATCAAATTTTAACGAAAATCGTTTAAGTAAAAAATTATTTAGCACAAATCTAATTTTTCAATTGTTCGTTTTAAACATACGTATTTTTCCAATTTAGTATTGATGGTGAATTCAGAATTGAGCGTATTGACCTAGTTTCAAAATTATAACTTTTTAAAGTTCTGATATTATGTGGATACTATATGCTATGTTAAATAACTTAATATTGTCAATATTATATTATGACTTTCGTAGTTTACTGTTTACCTATCGTTACCCTAGAGATCACGAGTTTATACTCGTATTCCGAGAAAATTGATTGCATTTGTTTTTTCCCCTTTACCTAAATAGGTAAAAGACAAAGGTATTTCGGGTATATTTAGAGACCCAAGCTTGCGCTTGATCGAACTTTTTTAATCGAAAATTACCCCTTAATTTGTGGGTCAATCTTTTCTACCAGAAGTCTTGCACCGGTATATCAAGTGTAGCACATTTTTTAAAAGGAAATTTTATCTTAATAGTATTTTAAGGACATAATTTATAGATTTGCCCAGTAGTTTTCCCAATAAATGTGAAACACCGGAAAAAAACGGTAAAATAAATACAATATCAAACAAGTATTATTAAAGAAAATTTTAATGCACATATTGTTATTATTTTACCATAATGTGACTTGTATATTATTGACAAAGCAATACAATTAACTGAACACCACTCAGAATTGTTTTTCGTTAACAATGATTAATCACTGCGTATAGATATACATTAAATTTCTTCTCTACCTTCCCAACAAATCATCTACAACAATGGCTCACCCACGTGCAAAAAATTCCCGCCTTGCTTTTGTTGGTTATGTCGTATTTGTTACACAATAAATAAAGGGATCTGTTCTTAAAGAGAACGTACATCTTCTACTTAATAAAATACAAAACATGGTGTTAGATTTAAAATTATAATATTAACTAAAAAGAATTGCAATATGACGAAATTGTCGATACAACATGTGGTGCCTAGGCAGTACTTTGACGGTAATATAGCTAACAACTACAAAGTTTGGTTCTAAAATTCAAAATATTTTTATTAGCAAACCAGAAAGGCTTCTAAAACATGAGTTAGGTAAGACGGCTATGCTTTTCAATTTTATTGGGGAAGAAGGTATAATAATTTTTAATACGTTTATAATCAATAGGGATGATGAAAATATGATTGTGATCAAGTCGTCGACAAATTTAAAGAGTTTAAAAGAGTGTAATTTTTTCTAAATTGTAATAGGACAGCAATAATTCACATAAAAATGCACGCAACTTTAAAAAATTATGATTTTTATCTTTGTTATTTATTTTTGTTTCTAATAATATATTCTGAGTTTCATATAATTTCTTTTATAGAACGAGAGTATGAATAATACTGAAAATTACATGGAATTTAAAAAGAAATCACTTACCATCATCAGATCTTATCCCTAGAGAAAAAAAAAATTGTAATAGGACAGCAATAATTCACATAAAAATGCACGCAACTTTAAAAAATGCGAGAGTCCAATTTACAATAAGTATTAAATATGAATTACAACAAACATTACTTCAGACTATGCAACATTAGTGCATTACATAAATCAGTGAAACTTGAGTCTAAGATATCGTATTCTAATTATTTAGACAGAACCTAAATTTTCGGAATTTTGTCGTTCTAGGAAATTAGAAACTTAATTTCCATAAAATATGTCTCTTGATAATATTTGAATACATGAACGTCCAGCAAAAACTATTAACTGTGAGTTGATTAAATTTGATATTGAAATCATAAATGCTCAACATATAGAAATAGAATGCTAGTCAGTATAGCATAGAACTAACGTTACCCAAAATATTGAACGAGACTCTTGATATTATATTAAATTATTAATTTAAAGGTTCTAAATCTGTATATAATGAGAAGGAAAATTGAAATTGATACAAAAAAACATTTTGGGAACTAATTCAAATGCAACTAAATAATCAATGTTTATACAGGATAGAGTATGGAGTCAATCCTAGTTTAGAATCTGGTTTAATGTGTAAAACCTATTTAAAGTTTAAACCAGTTTTAAATCTTGCTGAGTGCATGAAACCAATTTTAACGCAAAATAAAAATCAAACCAGTTATAAATTTATTAGTTATACTCTTCTACTAAAAAAATTGATACTTAACTTTCCTAGTATAAAGTTTTAAAATTAGACGGATATTGAAAACTACATGGAATATTAAAAAATGCACTTACTTTTGTTCCCTAGAATGAATATTTAAAAATCATAGCTTATTGTATATTTAATGTTTTTTTTAGTTATAANGATTAAACAATTTATTAAAATATTTAATACCCCGACGATTAGCTAGATAAAACTTATAGATGTAGATGTGGTTGTCCAATGAAAAATGTATTGTAAAAAACAATTTTGCGGACCCAAAATTATATTATTATACATTCTATACTACTCGTATATTCCAGTGACACTGAAAATTATTGCTATTTTGGAAAAAGTACAGAATAATAAATAATACATATTTCTATTTATAAACTTATGATGTTTTGAAAAAGTTAAAATAATAAACAACTTATTAAATTATAAATATTCGTATCAATTTTATGGACTTAAAATTTTAACAAATTTTACATTAAATATTTCTGGACATGGTGAGATTAAAAATAATAATTTAAGCTATTTTTTAGCTAATCATAGACATTTGAATACTGCGAGATTTGTACGTATAGGACAGGCTTTGTAATTCACTTTGTATATAGTTTTATTTAGTTACCTATTTTTTTTTCTGAAAAACTGTGAAGAATATTAAAAAAAAAATCACTTACTCTGTTGTGTACTAGATTCTGGCTCTAGAAAATAAAAAATTCAATTTAATTTTGAATATCGCAACTAATTTTATATTTTGCTTATTTATCTATGCAACTAATAAATTAGATATAAATATNGTAATTCACTTTGTATATAGTTTTATTTTGTTACCTATTTTTTTTTTTTAAAACTGTGAAGAATATTAAAAAAAAAATTACTTACTCTGTTGCGTACTAGATTCTGGCTCTAGAAAATAAAAAATTCAATTTAATTTTGAATATCGCAACTTATTTTATAATTTGGTTATTTATCTATGCAACTAATCAATTTGATACAATATACTGGCTCTATGTACAGATACCACGATTCAGGATAGTATTTTTCTAAACTACAATGTTGGCTAAATTGTAGTACTGTGGTATAGTACGCATTTGATTATAACAAACATGANATGTATTTCATAATTTTTACTGTATAAGAAGTTAATTCCATTCAGAATCAAAAAAAAAAAAATTGAGTTAAATGACGGATGTATTGGTTTTACTTTGATGCTTTTTTTTCTTTTATTATACTGTGTACAAGAAATCTACTAGATATCATACTCTTATATACAGGCTGTTCCACGAAGATATACCCTTTGAATATCTCTGAAGATAAAAATATAACCAAATTTTATTTTTATGCTACTCACAGAGATGAGAATTATGAATATCTATATTTGAATTTAATTTTGTTTTTTTTTTGTAAAAATTGCATTATTTTCGAAAAATTTGAAGATAGCCCTTTTGCAGAGTTTATTTATATTTAATGTATCACAATTTTATATCCGACGAATAATTTCAATGCCGCTTTAATTTCTACATGTACAATTATGTTATTCTCTAAAATCCTTTGGTAACATCGGTTTTTATGTGGATTAGTACAATTTAAAATGGCCGTTGGATGTTTATTGTTATTATTTTTTATGTTATTGTTTTGTGCGCAACTTTTTTATTAGAAGACTTGCTCAGATTTTTAGGTGTAGCATCTTTACTGAAAGAAAATCACTTTATGGAGGTATTAAGGGGAGTGTTATCAGAAAAACGGGAAAATGTACGAAATATGTTAATAAAAAATTATGATTTTTTTTCAACCAGCAATTTTGTTCCAATTTATAATGAAAGCAAATNGGATTAGTACAATTTAAAATGGCTGTTGGACTCTTATTGTTATTATTTTTTATGTTATTTTTTTTTGCGCAACTCTTTTACTTGAAGACATGCTCAAATTTTTAAGTGTAGCATCTTTACTGAAAGAAAATCACTATGAGGAGGTATTAAGGGGGAGTATTAAAAGAAAACCGGGAAAATGTACGAAATATGTTAATAAAATATTATGATATTTTTTCAACAAGCAATTTTGTTCCGATTTATAATGAAAGCAACTTTTCTAAAAATAAATTTCAATATGGATGTATTTTAGAGTCGACAATTTTCGAGTTTTACAGTTTTTTCATCAGATTTGAAAAACCGATAAACAACAGAGGAAAAACGGAAAAATGTAAGAAATTTAGGTATTGGTTAAAATATATTACGGCCTTCTTTTTTCCTGTAGATAAATTTCTACAAACAATTTGGCTCCAATTTTCAATGATTAGAAAGGTAATTTTTCGATCTGCCCATGAGTTTTCCTAGAAAATATGAAAACACAGGATGAAACATGGGAAAAACGGGAAAAACGTAGAAAAACTGGAAAAATTAGTATAAAATTAAACAATTATTATTAAGGAAAATACATAAAATATATTTAGTTATTTTACTATAAAATGACATAATATATATTGTTGACAAAGTATCACCATCAACTATTCAAAACTATCAAATTGCTTTTCTTTTAGATTCATTACAAAATCACAAACTCAAAAATATTTTTACAAAAATATCGGTGGAATTAAACCGAACAAATTTATAGGGAATCAATAAAAACAAAAGTACCCACAAAAAGTCATAGAAGTAAGTAACATTAATTCTACTGCTCTTCGATGCTCAATGATACTACAAGCCTTGATACTTTTTGATTAGCCTTCGTTTAGGTTGTTAACAAATTATCATTATCAACTAAACTCCACTCAGAATTGTTTTTTGTAAGCAATGGTTTATCATTGCTTAGAGGTATACATTAAATTATCTATAATAATGGCTACAAATAATAACTATCAGTCCCCGTTATACTAGGACGTCCTTTGAAGTTTGTGTTTGGATTAGGTTACGTTAGGTCAGGTTTAGTTTTTATTAATTTTTTGCATAAACTCGGTATCATTTTATAATCGTAGTATTATGTAGTGTCGTTGCGACACCAAACCCGGATTAAGATTCAGCTGTATTTATCAGCTATAAGTACAATATAGGAATGACTGAACGGGTAATTGTTGAAGTGGTGGTGCTCCTCCGTCTCTTGCGTCATTGGTGGTTTAAACTCATAACTTCAATAGAACTCCCTTTGTGCTTTTATTATTTTTTCAATTTTTATTATTAGTTGTAATCCAGTTAAAAATATTCGTATATATAAGAAATTTAGAAAGAAACCTTATAATTGCCTTTTTATAAGCCTTATAAAAGCCATTTTTAAAAATAATTTGTTGGAATTCAATTAAAAATATCCATATCGATATTATGAACACGAAATTCAGAAAAAAATTTATATTAACCTATTCTAAATGTAGTAAAGTTAAAAAAAAAAAAATATAATAACTTATTTGTTACCTAATAATCGACATTTAATTTAGCGAGATTAGTAGGCATAAAACACGCCGTTTTCGAGAGTGAATACCCTCGTCTAAGGTATTATTTAGTTATTTATTTTGTTTTTATAACTGCATAGAATAATTAAAAAAAAAAATCACTTACGTTGTGCCGTATTAGGTCCTAATAGAAAAATAAATTGCTTTACTTTTGAATAGCCCAACTAACTATACATTTTGTTTATTATCTATACAGCTTATCAATTTAATACATATATACTGGCAAGTTACGAATTGTTCACCGAACAAGCAAAAGCATGCAAATCAAAAGCGTAAAGTGCTTTAACATGACAATCAGTCATTCTTTTTTTGTGTAAATGTTTATTATGCAAAAAACGACCTCGGATGTATGGTAAGTTTATATAAACAAACTTATTTTAAGTGGGTACACGTAATCTGATAAAATAACAATGTTTGAAAATATAAACTACGGTGCAAATCCACCACAAAATATTGTAGTTAATACAAATAATTAATTTAATACAAAATATATTGTTTCTGTTTTTATATACAACGATTTATAATAGTATTACAGTCGAGTATAGTGTTGGCAATATTGCAGTTTTAGATTCATTGATATAATATGCATTTGATAATAACATATATGCTAATAACTGTGTGCAGTTCATTATTTTAATTGTACTAAATGACACATTCTACACAGAGTCTAAAATAATAAGATTCTTAGGGTAATGGGAATATATTGATTTACTATGATATTTTATTTTTTATTTTTTTTAAACTACGTAATGTAATTATTGTATAGTTGCATTTCATTAAAAATATTCGTAGAAATTAAAAATGGTGACAGAAAATGTATATTTACTTTACTAAAAATGGTAGAATGTTAAAATAATTCGAGTAATTTTTAAGATTTTTGAATTAATTTTCATTATTTGGTTGAAATTCAATGGTTTTATTAACCCTAAGCATTTATTATTTACATTAAAATAAAAAAATAAAAATAAAATAAAAAACTTAAACCCTTTTTGAGCTTATCGTAGAAATTAAAATATTGCGTGATTTGCACCCATTTTTACAGGCTTATTAACTCACCCTGTATATAGTTTTAATTAGTTATATAATTTCTTTTTAATACTACATAATATATTAAAAAACAAATAATCAATTACCCTGTGTCCCACTAGTTTGTGGCGCTAGAAAAAAAAATTTAGATATCACAGCTTATTTTATATTTTACTTATTTATCTATGCAACTAATTCAATGAAAATACATTGTTTCTGTTTTTATATACAACGATTTATAATAGTATTTCAGTCGAGTATATTGTTGGCAATACTGCAGTTTTAGTTTCATTGATATAATATGCATTTGATAATAACATATATGCTAATAACTGTGTGCAGTTCATTATTTTTATTGTACAAAATGACACATTCCACACCGAGTTTAAAATAATGAGATTTTGAGAGTTATGGGAATATATTGATTTACTATGATGTTTTATTTTTATTTTTTTTAAACTACGTAATGTAATTATTGTATAGTTGCATTTCAGTAAAAATATTCGTAGAAATTAAAAATGTTGACAGAAAATGTATATTTACTTTACTAAAAATGGTAGAATGTTAGAATAATTCGAGAAATTGTTAAGATTTTTGAATTAATTTTTATATTTTCCTTGAAATTCAATTGCTCTTTAATAACCCTAATTATTTATAATTTTCATTAAAATAATAAAATAAAAATATAATAAAAAACTTAAACCATTTTGAGCTCATCGTAGAAAATAAAATATTTCGAGATTTGTACCCATTTAACAGGCTTATTAACTCACCCTGCATATAGTTTTAATTAGTTACATAATTTCCTTTCTAGTACTGTACAACCTTATTAAATCAAAAATAATACTTACCTTTTTGCTTACTAGATTCTCGCCCTAGATAGAAAAAAATTTAATATAATTTTGAATATCGTAGCTTATTTTATATTTTTCTTGTTTTTCTGTGCATCTAGTTAATATAATACGAATATACTGGCACTGTGTGTGGATTTCATGATTCAGGATAGTATTTGTCTATTGTATACTTATGACTGTAACTAAACTGTTGTATAAGTTTTTAATGATATATTATGCTTTTGATTAATTTGAATGATAATAGTTGTGCTTTTTTCATAATTTTTGTAGTAGAAAAAGACTCATCCACTCAGAATTTAGAAAATGAATTTTTGCTTTCAATTTGGAAATTATTTATTTACAACGATATTTTTTATTTATTTTTTTGTTCTACATACAAAAATTCTTCTTGAAATCCTGCTCTGATGTATTCGCATAGCACCTTTGCTGAATGGAAATATTGTTCATATGGTAGTTATTGAGGATTCTATTAAATTTTCTATGCGGTTTTCATGGAATCTAAGAAAAACCTAACTAACTTATTGATTTACTAGCTCTCTAATGTCATTATATCGTTCATCTTCAAATGAAAACCAATCATTTATTCTTATATTAGGGGTAGAGTTAGAGGAGGTAAAGGGTTATAACACCCATACCAAACCTCTTTAACCTAACCTATTAGGTAAAGTTTTTTTATTCTATTAAATATCAAAGTTTTACTTGTAAGAATAATATAAAAGGGGCAAGTAGTCGGACCGATACCTAAAGAAAATTATTATGACGAATTTATTAATAATAATGAACAAAACGGGCGTATTTTTAAGGACACGTATCATACGAACTTTACACAAGTTAAGAATACAAAAGTTTAGTCCGATTAATGTTAAAAACTACATAAAATATTAAAAAACGCACATACTTTTCCATTTCCCTAGAGTAAAGACAAAAATAAAATTTTAAATACCACAAGTTATTTTATAAGACTACTTCAGGTTTATTAATACAGTTCACATTTCATATAAATACATAAAATATAGTTTTTGAGACTTCGTCAATTGAAATTATTAATAAACTGGTTGCCAAAAAAAATAAATAAATGTATTATATAAATATATATTTATAAGTGCAGGGGTGGGAATCAATAAAAGGGGACTAAAAGAAACTAATGATATTTGAGAAGAAAATACTAAAGAGGATATTCGGCCATAAAAAGATCAATGAAAACAATAAATATAAATAAAGGATAAAGAAAAGGACAAACGCAGTATAAAGGCAAACATTTAACGAAACTGATAAAGTAGGTGTCATGAAAAGGTGAAGTCTTAGCTAGATGGAACATGTGTGGAGAGTGGAATATAGAATAATAAACAAGTTTACAATGTGTGTTTAAACTAGTTATCAAAAGTTAGAACAATGACGTTCCCGTTTGAATTTAAATGCGCTCAAACAAATCGAAACAGTTTGAAAAATAACCTAAAATAATTCATTTTACGGTAAAATTGAGTTTTTTTTTTTATTTAAACGATAAAAGAATCCTTATAAATTAAAATCAATAAAAGTATTTATGCCTACAATAAAGAATATATACACAAAACTTGTGTGGGGTTTTACTTCCAGTGAAGCAGCCCCATTCTTAATCTAATAATTAGACTAAGTCAAATCGTTTTAGTCGATTGAGTTGTCTGATGTCCTTCGAGTAGTCGAGGAGCTTTTTGGCAGCCGCATTTGTGTGGAGCTCCAGTTTCTTGCATGTTTGCGAGCAAACTGGGTAATTTTATCCTGCACGGATGACATTTTCAAATCGCAGTGAATTATGTCGTTCTTATCATAACGATATGCTGCGATAATGGTACAAAAATCAATCATCTGGCATCGTTGTATTATTTCGATATTGGACTTACTGGCACAACCCCACAGTCGAATATCATAAATCTTAATCGGTTTAACATTCGATACATACAAGAGACGTTTGCTGGTTAAGACTACCTCGGAGTGTCAACCAACTAGTCACAACAGTTTGTGCATTATTTGTTTGTTTTGCAACTTTTTCTAGCGTACATGAATGTTCCAGTGAAGTCGTGAGTCAAGATGTATTCCCAGATATTTCGCTGAATCATTTTGCGGCTTATACTAACACCCGAATAAGAATCCAACTTATCAAACGATATTTTTATTAGGATCATTAATATTACTCACTTGGAAATGTAATAATTCACTCTGTAGTTGTGCATTGCTCACTTGTAATTGGGTCACAAGCTTACTTAAGTTTTTCGTTATCTTGTTGTATTTGTAGTATAATTGCATGGTCAACTAAAACCTGACCCCTCACAGATATTCCGAAAGACGATCCATGCCCCCACACGCGTGTGTCAAAGGCGAAGACATATTCATAGTTAGTGTATTACTAAACGAACGCGTATATTCAAAATTCGAGAGCGGAACATACATGTTGCTCGTTCGATAAACAAAACGCGACTATACAAATGACATGAACACATTTTTTCTTGTATTGTATATTCTTTATCTTATTGGATAGTATAAAATTTTAATTTTATATAAATAAAATAAAATAAAAATATAAATTAACAAGAATGTCTAGAGTGTATTATTTATTCTTAACATCTATACTAAGATTTAAAATCCTGTTAAATTCTATAAGCTAAATTTCAATTATTAAGTCGTAATATATACAACTATACATTAAACATAAAAATAATTGTTGAAAAAATTAATATTTAAAGATTAGAATATGTTATTTTAGATATGAAGCATAGCGAGGGTATACATTGGTTTTTCTATGATGTGGTTTTTTATTTTTTGTGTGTATGTTTAATTTTTCTGACACAACACTTGCTCTGAAGTATCGATTAGAAATTTTTCTGAAAAATAATGTTTTCCAGTTGCTACATTTGGACGGTCATATTTTTAATATCTAAATTATTTTCAAAATATATGGGAAAAATCAGAAAAAAAATTATGTGTAAAAAGTCAAATATTTACGGCATGTCATGGCGCCATCGTTTTCGTTTTTTTTTTTTTGATTTCTGTTCACTAGGTTTTATGCCAGAAATATTGCCCCAATTAAAAAATTGGTAGCCACTAACAGAAAAAGTCGTTTTTTGATATCCAAAGTAGTTTTTATAATAATTGGGTAAAAAAATAAAAAACATGGGATACAATTTTTTTTTTCCAATTATGACCTAAAAATTGTATTATTTAAAAGTACGGGAAAATTCATAATAATATTTATTTTATTTTTTGAAATTTCGTTTTTAAAATGTTATTGAGTTAAAAATATTTGCAGAGACTCAAAATATTGACAGAAATCTTATGTTTGTTTTTTCTAGATGTCTTCAAATTATCAAAATATTTGAGCTCTTTTTGAGCAATCTTTGTAGATTTAGACGTTATAATTTTTGCCGGTTTTTTACGTAATTTTTATTTGGCAGGTACTTGGTGGATTAAGTTAATAGACTAATAGAAATGCTTGAAAATTAGACAGAGATTCATTATTATATTTACTAAGATTTTAGAAAAAGTAAAAAAAAAAAATTGGTGTAAAATAGTAATATAATTTTTATTTATAAGAGTTAATATACAATTTTAACAAACATCGTTAATATTATGGCCTTTTAAAACATTTATAACAGAACTTCGTTTCGAAACATTTTTCTTTATCAATAGTTTACTGTTGCCTACGAGCATAAATTAAATNTTCAACATTGTCTGCACCCGTGTCCTCAGTATTAGTTCTTTTATAGTATAGTATAGTATTTTATTATTATTATTATCTTAAGGTTAAACAAATACGATACCATACATTAATATTCCATACGCACTTTTTTCACTTTCGTGATTGCATACGAAATACTTACTGTATTAGCTCTTATTCATTTTATTTTATAAATAAATAATTTATATTAAAAATTTAGATATTTACCGTATGCTGTGTGGACAAATACTGAAGTAAGAATTAACGAAATTATAATTATACGTTTCATTGTAAATGTATAAATGTTTCGTAGGTACTTTACAAATTATAAAATGAACGATTTTTGAAAAAAGAATAATGTGTACAGTCTTTTATATAGCGGTACATAAAAAATGTAAAAACGTGTGTAAATAATGAATTGTTCATTTAAAATAATGTCCTAAATATACTAAAAAATAAAGTACACTATAAAAATACGTTTTGTGTGATATTAAAGATTATTACACAATATGATTTATCACTTCGGAAAATGTTTAAACTAGGTACCAAAAATTAGAACGATGATGTTCACGTACGAATTTAGAAGCATTATAACTAATAAAAATAGTTTAAAAAATAACTTTAAAAAAAATAATTTTACCGAAAAAATGATTTGACAATTTGTCTTAAATAATTATTTTAGTGAATAGTAAATATTTTTAATTTTTTATAAAAAAAAAATTTTAAATAAATTAAAATAAAAACGCAAATTAACAAGAATATCTAGACTGTATTATTTATTCTAAACATCTATACTAAGATTTAAAATCCTGTTAAAATCTATAAGCCAAATTTTAATTATTAAGTCGTATTATATACAACTATACATTAAAACTAAAAAAAAACTGTTGAAAAAATTAATGTTTACAGATTAGAATATATTATTTTAGACATAGAGCATAGCGAGGGTATCTTTTGGTTTTTCCATGATGCGGTTTTTTTAAATTTTTTGTGCGTATGTTTAGTTTTTCTACCAGAACACTTGCTCTGAAATATCGAGTAGAACTTTTTCAGAAAAATAAAGTTTTGTAGTTGCTACATTTGAACGGTCATTTCAGTTAAGTTCGGTCATTCAACGTTTTTTTAAATTCTGAATAATTTTCAAAATATATGGGGAAAATCAGAAAAAAAATTATGGGTAAAAAGGCAAATATTTACGGCATGTCACGGCGCCATCGTTTTCCTTTTTTTTTTTGATTTCTGTTCACTAGGTTTTATACCGGAAATTTTGCCCCAACTAAAAAATTGGTAGCCATTTACAGAAAAGGTCGTTTTTTGATATCCAAAGTAATTTGCATAATAATCGGGGAAAAAATAAAAAACAAGAAATAAGATTTTCATGCCTGACAAAACAAAAACTTTTTGATCATATCTGTGTTTTATTTTAAACTACAAATCACTGACAATCCTAAATATGTAAAAATGAGAAGGAACTTTATATTGCCTGTAAACTTTTAGACCCAACTAGTATATAACCTGCTGATAGCCGGGATTCAATTGGCATAGTACCCAAAACTCATTGGGAACCAATTTGGTGTATTACCTATCGAAAACACTTGGATCCGGGACCCAATTCGGATACATCCATATTTATACATTATGAATTCTAATACTCTTTTTATATACGGGGTGATTTTTTTATCGTAAACCAGCAATTATATCAACAGATTGTGAGTGAATTTGATTTCTGTTTTTTCTAATAATTATGGAATCATTTAAGCTTTATTTTAAAACCATTTTTAATTTTTTACCCTTACTTCATATACCTTAAATAAGTGCATACTTTTGATTTTAAAATAGGAAATAATCCCCCCCTCCTGTACACAGAACTAATTAGAGAATATTTTTCTAAAAATTTCGATATGCATAACACTAATATCAGATTTACCGTTTATGAATTATAACAGTTTAATGTTTATACCGGATGAGTGGGGAAGGGTAAATATATTGCCTATCTGTAACTCTTCCTAACTCTTTCGGTCTAAAATTTAAACTGTTGCATACATGTTAAAATTACGTACGAATTGCGTACTTACCTATATAATAGCATGATTTTTTTTCTCAACTTTTCACAATAATTGTTCTTGAAAATCGCCAATTGAGTGTGTAGAGGGTTCGCAATGGGGATTTAATAGATTTAATTGGTTTGACGGGGTTAAGTAATATTTTTAAACGTCAAGGTTAAAAAAATAATAATAATAACAAATTAATTGGCTTATTAATAATACAAATCAATATAATATTTTTTAGTAAATATTTGTGGAACGTCGTCTTCGTCGGCGCATATACAACTGTTATTCGAATATACGTTCGCATTATTTATTTACACGGGTAGTGTACAAATTAATGTTTTATATTAATATACACAAGTGGCTCCACGCATCTTATTACCTTACAATGACCCCGTAGTCATTGCCAACAGTTCTGAAATTTTCGTCAACCTCCAGAATGCGTGCCGCAGATGTGGTGTCTCCAGATATAAAGAGGCCGACTGTTTAGACGGCTCTGGCAAGTTCATTGCTTGCAATCGAGCTGACCTTATGATCAAGCCCGGATCTGCATCTTGGGTGCGTATCACCGGGCCGAAAAAAGAGCTGCACGGGACTCTAGACCGGTGGGCACGCACGTGGTTGTAAAGAGACGGACGGGACGAGTTCTCAGGTTGGTGGTCTTGTCAGGCCGCCACGACGCAGTGGAGACACGAGCGCAATCGAATTTAATTTTAATAATACGTATTGCGTAGTCATAATAATATCTAATTGTATCTATTCACTATTATATTATCTTCTTTGTATTGTGTGTGCGCTACACACAAATAATTACTTATAAATCGAAGTTAAATTTTAACTTCAATATCAACCATAACATCATGATTTACGCTCCAAGTATNGTTCTCAGGTTGGTGGTCTTGTCAGGCCGCCACGACGCAGTGGAGACACGAGCGCAATCGAATTTAATTATAATAATACGTATTGCGTAGTCATAATAATATCTAATTATATCTATTAACTATTATATTATCTTCTTTGTATTGTGTATGGACTGCTACGCACAAATATCAACCATAACATCATAATTTACGTTCCAAGTATACGAAAATGCGTTACGGCAGACAAATATATCTGACCGAGTCGAAAACTTGAAGAAATATTATTTTGAAAAAACCTAAAGTAAAAAGTGAAACAAAATCGAGTTTAAATTATAATAATAGTACTTTTATGTTGTACTCAATGGCGTATTTAGATAAACGGATGTTAGGGCCGCGTTCCCCTCACCTCGGGGTTTTATTTTGAATACAAAACTATGCGTAATATAGGTATTTTATTCAGTATACCTAATTAGCTGACTATTATTTATTCGAGAGGAAAAACTCGATTGTAAATCGGTTTGCTGTAGATCCGGCTTTGAAATTCACACTGTCGGCAAGTCAGGTACCTATATAGAGGAAGTATTACGTAGGATTTATTTACGATTCACGTTCTCAATTAAAACCTTCCTCCCGTTGGAAATTCCCGGACACGCCACTGGTTGTATACGCGATTATCATCACATAATAACTGCGTCTTGACGCGCCCGCTAAATTCACGTACCTTTCTTTTGCACGAGTTGGCCGATCCCGATTTCACCACGAAAAACCCGTGTTTGGGCGCGTACGAAATGGTAGATCTAATTCGCGAACGGTTTCTACCTATTTGCGAGGGCGTTTCTATTACGGCACCTTCAATCCGGCTACGTTTTGCCGCACTCTTGAAGTCGTTAATTTTCCCGGATAAATCGGATAAATGACGCTTTATTGAATGGCAGCGGCGCGTCAACGACAAGTCCTTCATCATCCCAATGATAATTGCCATGTCTTTAGTAATCAATACGCCGACATTATAATCATTTTCTAACATCACAAAAGAGGAATATTTTATTTTTATTAAAAAATCGATTAATAAACATTATGAAGTTGTACAAATTGTTTACAGCCAAACTGAATGTTAATCTACATGAAAGTTCCTAAACGCATTTTTTATTGGAGTTGGATTTATGATACAAAAGTTTTTAAATGACGTGCATGAAAAATAAAGGTAATTAAAAAATATACACAAAAATCAATTAATTTTTAAATTAAAATACATTCATATTGTTGTTACCAAACCGAACAGCAAAACGAACGCAATAAAGATGAAAATGAGTATAGAAAATAGCTATGTTGGTTTCTAAAAAAAAAAATTTATATTACAAAACAAAAAACCTAATATATTTTTGATAAATAGTCCTGTTACACCATGTATATCGATTACTAGAATAAAATCCGCACATATACCCGAAACTTAAGTAGAATATACGAGTAGATGTCGTCTTACATAAACGCACGATATAGCAGGCGTTTAACAGAGACAATTGTAGCGTGCTGTCAGTTTTAATATCAAAACAGTCATTATTTTTATCGAACTAATCAAACATTATCAGACTCTGTTTTGGTATACATTCGATTTTTGTCTCGGTATTTCAATTTTCCGCGGCAAATTATAGGTACCTGTGCATTTTTAAATTGCGATATTTTGGATAATATTCGTACCAACAAGTTCGCTGGTGATTTAGTCGATTCGCTGAATAATATTAAAACCAAAATCGTAAAATCGTCCCCGCTAAACGCAAATTCTGTGTACCGTACATTTGAAAGACGGAGACGAGCGAGACGCCACACTACGCTAAAAAACATAATATCGCGTTATCTTATAAATTTAATCTCAAAATAAATACTTACGACAGTCGTCCTTCTCAAACTAATAATTAACAACGTTAATTGACAAACAAAATGATCAGTAAAAATGTTCGTATATATGGCGAAAATGCACAAGAAATGTTTATATTATAAACAGTTATAACTAATAAGTATATGATAAATATATCATGGAAGACGCGAACAAAATAATGGCGTATTAATTAACAGTAAGAAAAGTAGAACACTATGGTTTTATAAATTTGTAAACTCGTACGATATAAGAAATAACAAGACTTGTCAAATTGAAACAAACAAATTGTTCGCGTTAGTTACCGAATAAATATTATTGTTATAAATATCGAATGTTTGATTGACGTGTCATATGATATTAATTTACGATTTTTATTTACGCATGTATGATTTACCTATACTGGTCTTTTTCGGAATTCAAATAGGAAATCGATAAACTTTTTCTATAATACGACGATACACGATACAAAACGAATGATTTAAAATAACATAATGGATTTATTATTCTTATATTAGATTCTGAGTATAAAGAACAGTGCATTGGTTTTACTGAAATTTTTTTTTTATTTATATACTGTATACAAAAATTCGACCAGATATATACGCGCAGCACCACTTCTAAAAAGGAAAACGTTTCCCAGATGATACTTTTAGGATGTAATTTTTTGATTTTCCAAGCGGTTTTCATAATATCTGGGAAAAACCAGGATAAAATTTAAGAAAAACGGGAAATATATGAAAATAATGCTTTTATTATTTTTCAATTTTGTTATTAATTGTAATTCAGTTCAAAATATTCGTAGAGTCTTAAAATTTAAAACAGAAAACTTATATTTGTCTTTTTTAGACGTGGAAACATTTTCAAAAGATTTAAGCCATTTATAGACATTTTAATTTTTGCGAGTTTCGTACATCATTTTTATTCGATTTATACTCTGTAGATAAAATGTTTAAACCGAACAGAAATGCTTGAAAATTTAACAAGAGGTTTATTATAAGTCATAAATAAAAGTCAAAAAAAATTGAGTGTAAAAATTTTTTTTTTTTAAGATAATTTTAATATCAAATTTTGACAAAAATCGTAAATATTTCGGCCTTTCAAAACATATACAACCGAAATCCGCTCACTATCGTTTTTCGTTATCAAAGTTTTTAAATCGTTGCGCACGGATATACATTAATTTCCCTTTAATATCCTACCTTCCCCATATTTCTGTTTAGTCAAACGATTTTATCCACATAGTAACTTCCAAATAAAAAATAAAAAAAAATCGAAAATATAATATGATCATTATGACTCAGAAATTAAAGGCATAAAAAAGGCAAAATATGTATACAAATATGCACGAAAAAATTGTAAAATATGCATAAAAAAGGTTAAATGTGCTAAAAATGTAAGAAATATGCAAACAATTATTCAAAAACATATAACGCCATTATTAATATACGAATATACGATGCACGAATCACACCGTTGTCATTAAATTAATTAACTGAGAGGGGTTAGGTTAATAACAAATTGATTTTAATGTAGTATTTTTTTTTTATTTTTTTTTAACGGGAATATTAATATTAAATATTGACGAAAATCCTTTGAATAAAAAATTATGTGGAATAAATCGAATTTATAATTATTTTTTTGTTTTAACATATGTATATTGCTGATTTAAAAACGATTGGAAAAGTCAAAATTAAGCGGACTGACTATGTTTCAAAATTATAGTTTTTGAAGTTCTGATATTATGCGTATGTTATATGTTATGTTAAGTAACTCTATATTGTTCTTCTTAAAGCATATTTGTCGTGATTTAGTGCTTATTTATAACTATTATTATCCGAGTGATTCTGAGTTCAATGCATTTTGGATGTACCTAGAGACCCAAACCATTTCTCGGACTATTTTAATCGCAAAATAACCCTCGATTTGTCGTGCAAACTTTTCTACCAGAATTCTTGCTCCGATGTATCATGTGTAACTTATTTTCTGAAATGAAATTTTATCTCCATGGTAATTTAAAGAAATCGTTTTTTTGTTTTTTAAGCGGTTTTCATAATATCTTGGAAAACCCGGAATAAAATTTCGAAAAAACAAAAAATATACAAAATGTAGGTATTATTAAAAATTTATGATGGCCTTTTTTTTCTGTATACAACTTTTCTACTAGTAATTTTGGTTCAATTTAAAATAATAGTATTTTTTATGAAAGGAAATTTGACTGGGACTGTACTTTAGGAAGGTAAATTTTCCATTTTCCCAAGAGTTTTCCCAATAAATGGGAAAATCGGTACAATATTAAACAAATATAATTCAAGAAAATATATTATGCTTATTTAATTTTTTTACCATAATATGACATATATATTGTTAACAAAGCATCACAATCAACTGAACAGCCCTCAAAATCGTTTTTTCGTTAACAATGGTTAATCATGGTTTATGGTTGCTTACAGATATACATTAAATTACTTAAACAATGGCTGCACCCGTCTCCATTATCCTAGGACGTCTTTTTGTAACTTATGTTTTCTACCAAAAATATAGCTCCAATAGAAAAACTTCAAGAGACCATGTTTATTGAATANTACAATATTAAACAAATATAATTCAAGAAAATATATTATGCTTATTTAATTTTTTTACCATAATATGACATATATATTGTTAACAAAGCATCACAATCAACTGAACAGCCCTCAAAATCGTTTTTTCGTTAACAATGGTTAATCATGGTTTATGGTTGCTTACAGATATACATTGAATTGCCTAAACATGGCTGCACCCGTCTCCATTATCCTAGGACGTCTTTTTGTAACTTATGTTTTCTACCAAAAATATTGCTCCAATAGATAAACTTCAACATACTTTGTTTATTAAATATTGTACCTTGTTGCTCGCACAACCTAACTCCCTCACCTCCAATAAAATTAATTTTACGGGGAAAATAATTGCCTGCGAATTTAAAAAACATGATTTAAAATAGTTGCAAATCAGTTACAAAATTATGGAACTAGTATTGAAGTCAACTGGCCGATATAGTGGTGCTACGTGAAGTTGGTCCCCCACCAGTTGAATCAATTTTGCGGTGGATACATTTGGTTGCAGCAAATCAGTTGCAAAATAATGACACAATTTTTGAGTTAATACATTAATGTAAGGGGGCCAACTTCATGCACATATCTTCTCACCTACAGCAATTGCACATACGTCCCTGGTATCAGCACTTTTTTTTCGTTTTGTTTTCCTGTTATCATTATTGCCAGGCATCAAGTATAGGCAAAACAGGTACGCCCGTGCGTCGCGTCGTCGTTTATTCCGTTATTATTATTATTAAACGTATGGTTTTAATCCTAGTATTAACACACAATAATCATTTCATGTGAGATATAAACGACAACAACTATAAAATCTATAAAATATCTAACAGTTAATTTTATGTATAAACGAAAATAAAAATAAAACTATCAAATCAAATTTCTATCTTTAATTCATACAGCCACCGGACAGAGTCTCATTCCAATGAGTGTAACTTTTCTCCATACCCGTTGTGAAGGAATGTACCATACAATCTTCAATTAGCTGTTCCATTCTTTGAATCTTATCATCGATCTCACAGAGTTCCAAATCTGCTAAGTTCCATTTAGCCATCAAATGATTGCACCTCCCATGTCCGCATCGGAAGTGATTAAGCTTTAATCAAACCTTTCTAGGA